GCCAAAAAGTAGCGAAAGTAGCGAAATTTTGGGCAAAAAGTAGATAAATTTTGGGCTAAAAACTAGCAAAAGTAGTCCAATTTTGGGTTAAAAAGTAGCGAAAGTAGTGAAATTTGGGGCTAAAAAGTAGCCCAATTTTGGGCAAAAAGTAGCGAAAGTAGCGAAATTTTGGCCTAAAAAGTAGCCCAATTTTGGCCAAAAAGTAGCGAAAGTAGCCCAATTTTGGCCAAAAAGTAGCGAAAGTAGCCCAATTTTGGGCTAAAAAGTAGCAAAATTAGTGAAATTTTGGCCAAAAAGTAGCGAAAGTAGCCCAATTTTGGGAAAAAAGTAGCGAAAGTAGCCCAATTTTGGCCTAAAAAGTAGCGAAATTTTGGGTTAAAAAGTAGCCTAATTTTGGGCAAAAAGTAGCGAAAGTAGCCCAATTTTGGCCAAAAAGTAGCGAAAGTAACCCAATTTTGGGAAAAAAGTAGCGAAAGTAGCCCAATTTTGGTCTAAAAAGTAGGAAAAGTAGCCCAATTTTGGCCTAAAAAGTAGCGAAAGTAGCGAAATTTTTGGCTAAAAAGTAGCGAAATTTTGGGCTAAAAGTAGCGAAATTTTGGGCTAAAAAGTAGCAAAATTTTGGCCAAAAAGTAGCGAAAGTAGCCCAATTTTGGGCTAAAAAGTAGCAAAAGTAGCCCAATTTTGGGCTAAAAAGTAGCAAAAGTAGCGAAATTTTGGGCTAAAAAGTAGCAAAAGTAGCGAAATTTTGGGCTAAAAAGTAGCAAAATTTTGGCCAAAAAGTAGCAAAAGTAGCGAAATTTTGGGCTAAAAAGTAGCAAAAGTAGCGAAATTTTGGGCTAAAAAGTAGCAAAAGTAGCGAAATTTTGGGCTAAAAAGTAGCAAAAGTAGCGAAATTTTGGGCTAAAAAGTAGCAAAATTTTGGCCAAAAAGTAGCGAAAGTAGCCCAATTTTGGCCTAAAAGTAGCCTAATTTTGGGCAAAAATTAGCGAAATTTTGGGCTAAAAAGTAGCGAAATTTTGGCCAAAAAGTAGCAAAAGTAGCCCAATTTTGGCCAAAACGTAGCGAAATTTTGGGCTAAAAAGTAGCCTAATTTTGGGCTAAAAAGTAGCGAAAGTAGTCTAATTTTGGCCAAAAAGTAGCGAAATTTTGGCCAAAAAGTAGCGAAAGTAGAGGCCGTAAAAGACCTAATGGATAAGGAGAAGGGGGTGTGACTACAAGTTGGGCTTACTAGCACCTAGACTGGGCAAAGTATTAGCTGCGGACAGCGGGACACTTGGGGACCGGCGCTGCACCCCCACCGCAGGCCAGCGGCCGGACCCCCCCCCCCCCGAAGGGCGAGTGCCAGCTGGCCGCGTGAGGCACTCAATGTAGCAGAGCAACAACGTCCCGTCTGACGTAGGATGTGAGCACTACTCTTCCGCCTGCCGTCTGCCATTATTTCTGATGTGGCGAGCCCGTCCCGAGACAGCTGGGTGCGGAGCGTAGTCATCTGAAGTCAAGCCTAGCGCCGAGAGGGCAGCGCGTAGGATCCTGGAGAAATCTCGCCTGGTGACAGGAGCGCTTGTAGGATCTGTGCTTGTAGGATCCGAAGAGTGTTGATTCCTGACCATGTAAGCGATACCTGGTCCAGTCGGAGCGTGCGTCGATTTTTTGTCGCGTAGCTCACCTCCCCCGGGCTGAAAGATATAAGGCAGTAAGGGTGGGCAGAAGCGGCATGCAGTGTTATCGTGACAGGCAAGAGCACAGACGAGAGGGAAACCCTAGCTGAATCAATACGGAGACGAAAAAACGGGGGAGGGAGCCCGGCAGCAGGAATTAAGAGAAACCTTAATTAACAATCCTGGATGAATAAAGAGCATCCGAATAATTATACTGTAGCAATGAAGGGGGCTAACAATTCTAAGAATCTTCCAGCAAACGGAAGGGGGAAGTACCTTTGCTAAGAGCAAAGGTGGGAGAAAACCAGTAGGAGAACAGCAAGGAAGCACAAAGCAACTATAACAGGGTAAGACGAAACACTATAAATCTTGAATATAAACAATACATATACCAAGAACGGGTATAACAACTAAGCAACATATACATAAACAATAAAATGGAATAAGAACCAATTCTTAAAGCCAAATCTATAACATGCTTGTGTCCTAAGCGGATGTAGAATGTGAGCGGGGAACATTACCCTTGGTCTCTATCCCATCTCTGCCTCCAGACGGGTGATTGGGCTGGATAGAAGCCAAGGAGTCTGCCTTAAGTGGCCGCTGAGTGTAGTCTTGTGTTGTCAATGAGCGTCTGCGAGCCGCAGCTAGTACGCCGTGAACTTCGGCAACATCTTTAGAACAGGAGCAATGTGAAATCGACGGCAGGGAGCTGCCATTCAGTAACTGTAATAAGGATAATAATAAGAATACAATGTCGTAAATAATCGTACAATGAAGAATACAATGTAATATCGTAAATAACCGATGACGGCAAGTGCCGCAGAATGGAAGAAATTAAGAAAGCAACGCCAAACCATAATAGCAATTTATATTTTAATAAAATAATACTGGAATGACAGTAACGGTACGGAATAATATTAATACTGCCATATAGCCCAGCAAATAAAGAGAAGATAATAGTATTAACGTAGGCCCTGGGCGGCTGCATCCCGGCACCGCTGCGTGCGTTGATGGTGATCAGAGGAATATCCGGCTCGCGTTCTCTTCCTCGCCGCAGTAGGGTGTGGAAGGGGGGGGGGGGTTCCGGCTTGTCGTGGCTGCGAATAAAGGGAACAGAAGAAGCCGGCATTGAGCGCCAAGCGGGCAGAGCGCAGTGGAAGGAATAGCGGTTGGAGGTAAGGGCCCCTAACCTAATGATAGATGAGGTAAAATTAAATAGAATACTATTACGTAGTAGGAAACAACAATGGCGAAGGAACAAGAAGAGTAAAATAGCCCAGAAGGCCGGATGGCCAAAGAACGTTAGCGACCGTATGGCCAACAGCATGCTGGCTGCGCTGGCCAACCACAAGCTGGCCGACGTCATGCTAACTGACTGGCTTGAGCTTGCCGAAAGGAAGGCCGAATGGCCAGTTTTTTGCATGACACCGTGCGCGAGGCCATGCTAAACTTCTCGGTAGCATCCAAATGTAACTTAATGTACTGTCGATACGATGAAGAATGGGTGGTCAAATATAATGCACAATAATCAGAATATATAATGAGGGAAACGAGTGTAATAGGACGAAATAACCGGAGGAAAAAAAAAATTGTGGGGGGGGGGGGGGGGCCCACCCGAATGCACTGCAACTAGCGTACCTTAGCTGAAAATAACTTAAAGGCAGAGAGGCAAAGCAATAGATTAATACAAATCCTAATTGATAGTCCCTTAATAACAAATTGAACGTGAAACTTAAACAAAGAGTAAATTGCGGGAGAAAAATTTGCCATAATAAATACAAATCAAATTGCGAGTCCAACAATAACAGATTTAACAGACAGGCAGACGTAGGAGGAACCAAGGGGACGTTTCCCACAGGCGAGCCCGCACGGCTGGGGGGGGGGGGGGGGGCGGAAAGGACAGAGGGCCGAAGAAAAGAAAACGTCGCCGAGGCGCGCTGGACGGCACACAACCCGGTCTGAGAAAGGACATAGGCCCAAAAGCGAGAGGCGATAACGTAGAATGGGGTGGAAGAATGCGGAAGTAAGCGGGCGAGACCGAGTAAACAGGGAACCAGGGGGGGGGGGGGGGGGGGGCAACCGATAAGCCGCGGCTCGCGCACCGCTAGCCATACCTAAACAGGAAGGGGAGAAGCATAAAGGTAGCCCAGCAAAAGACTAGTAATTAGTAACTCTGCAAATAGCACATCCTGGCTGACTTTACTTAATAATTTACTTAGGAACTCTGCAAATAGCACATCCTGGCTGACTTTACTTAATGACGTAAGGCAAGGAAAAATGAACAAACATACTGAACACAGCAACGCGAAATTAAACATGCGACATGAGCAAAGCATAACAACACATTATTGACGATTATTCTTCAATTTTTTACATTCGTTTGTATATATCCATTTTATTTCTATTATATACTATATATATGTACATTAACGTCAACGACTATAATAAAGACATTTTGCCTTTCTGCCAATATTTTACTATATTTACTCCAATCCCTTCAAAAACTATGAAATATATCATGACACCTGTAATAATATTGTTGATTCCTCAATTCATCAACGCCATACTGCAATGGTCATTCACAGCCTAATAATTACTATTACAAGCCAGTATTCTATTACATACTATTTAATGACAATATTATTTACTGCAAATAATATCATTCATTTTCAATACTATTTTCTTTCTTTATTCATGCAATACAATTTTCCCATTATTGGTGTAATATTTTTTATTATTCAATTCATGCAGAAACTTAATACATTCAGGTATATGTATGTTAATACACTGATTTACATCATTATTCTCACTATGAATACCATCTTCATTACCGACAAACTAATGCTTTTTTCAATAAAGTATTTCTGAAATACAATATTGATTTCGATTTTCACATTTACAAGTCTTATTAATAACTATTCTCTATTATTCCCTAATAAAAACACCTCCTAATACATAGTCAATACTATTCTATATTTTTATATTCAACCTTTTCAAATAACAACGTTTATTTGTTTATTTCTGCTGCTTGTATTAAACATATTTCTTATTTACACTACATGAAGTCATCAATAATATTTCGTATTCACATGTACACTTCAACTATCACTTTCCTATATCAATACTTTTTCATACTAAATATTTCTATTATGCATTCCCAAATACAACATTTCTTACATAAACATTGATATATTTCTTTATATATTACTAGACAAATCACTTATTTACATACTTCTCAAACTATTTCTTACTCAACAATATATCGATTCTTCTATTATTTTTTTTTGGGGGGGGGGGGGGTCAACCTCACGCAAACCCTTAAACAGTATCTCTACGTTTTTGCTTTTTTAGGCATTGCCTAGATGTAACATTTCCACCATACAAATTCTCTTATTTACTACGTCAAACCCATTACTTTTCTTCTTTTTTTTAACTTTCTTCTTCGTCCACCCTTCAAACGTCGACGTCCAACATTGACAATCTCTTGCTCAATCTTATTTAACAACAAACAACTTCAATGCTCAATTACACATTATATTTCTTTAATAACTTTTACAAACATTATTAAATCATGTCAAAGTCACTACATCCCGCACGCAAAACACAACACTATTACATTTCTCTGCAAATCACATTTCAACTACCTACACCACTGTCAACATATGGTACAAACCCCGCAACCTTACCTACGTCTCAATTTATTTTATTTATCATCAACGAACACGCGTTCTTCCACTGTTAATTATATCTTATCAAGTAACAGTTTGTAACTAATTATCAAACAAAAACACAAAACCGGGAACGATATCTACAACCACCAATTATCAAACATCACACAACGATAAATATTAACAACGATCAAAATACGACAACAAAACCCAATAACCCCATACACATAAAACATTTATGACTCAAACACTTTCAATTCACGACATTCAACAACGATCAGTACGACCATCACAGAAACATTCAGTTTTCCACATTAACAACCACCCAGCCGCTACATTAATAACCCCGTCAACGTCGGAATAAATAACAACTTTACGCCAAATGGGACAAGTGCGCATAGCGTCCTTACCCCCACCATCACCACCCTCACTTAAACATACACCAACATGGCTGGGAACAAAGACAAACGAAACACTTATGTTTACTCCACATAACAACCACCCGATGTTGATTCTACATTACCACCGCTTGGACCCCATTATACGACCAGAAACCCATCAGGACACTACGAAACTCAACTACTACCAAGAAAAACACCACGAAACCACGAAACAAACAGCATACACAATACCATACAGTTATCCGGAAAACATGCTACCCTCACGAAAAACAAATACCACACATACACCCATCCGTGAACATGGAAACGCACTGCCACTGACAACAACAGTGCTCAACGAACACCCATTTCATATATGTAGGAGCGCTCAAACATTTAGTGATCCGGGTCACACATGTACACAATTGGCCAAGGGGGACCCTCACCGGGGGCAACCAGGGAACAATAAAAAATTATTAATAATATTCTTGTAAGCGACACCAACGGACACAAACGTCCTGAACAGCAACGCTAAATAAACAACCGTAAACTCAAAACACCATACACAACCCTCACGATGCTGTACAAATCACGCAACATCAAAATCAGGCACAAAGACACTGTCAGCGTACAACCCAAGGCTACGACTTGAACGAAATCAACCACAGCTGACGCGCTACCCACTATGGTGCAAACGGCCAACAGTACAACGACAACCACAAGACTACGCAGCCAAACCATGATCAACCACACACCAATGCAAATATACCACCGTCCGCCTATGTCCTCCCTAACAACTATGAGACAACACCTTAAGTAGGTTAAGGCCCTTACAGCATTCAACACAGCTAAAACACGTGCGACCACCAAGACAAACGAGTGTCAAAGAATAACAACATTAACTTCCTGCAATCTTTGTACTCAAGGGGATGACCATAAAGTGACAAACACGGACAAACAACGACCCGCTTCAGTCAAACTCATGCAAAAACTCTTACTATTAACCAAATTCAACCCATGATCCCCGGCCAAACATGAAACGGCATCAACCAAAACTTGAAGACCCCCTTGAAGGAGACCCCATTCATCACACTAACATCATAAACAAACACAATAAAACATGCCACAACGAACGGACGAACACACACCATTCACGCTAACAAAAACTACTCAGGACACACAACAATAGTACTAATAGTAGTACTCACAACAATACCTTGGGGCACATCTTCAGACTCCCGAAAACACGCAGACACAGTCGCACCAACCCGGACTCGAAACCTACGACGAGACAAACCTTTAAACGAAGAGGGATATTGCCACGAACGACAAAACAACGAACTTCATACACAATATGCTATCTCAAAGTCCTCTCATAACCATTTTCAACGTCGACGACAACAACAACGCAGCTATTCCCAGCAAAAGCACTACAAATATACACCTCAAACTTCACAGGCACATCACTTGTGCTGCACCACTTGCAAAACCTAATTTCACGACCACACACGTCGTGACGCTCTTCAAACATCACACGGACATTTAACATACGCTCAAACACCTTGCAAACAACTCGTCACGCCAATACCGCCGAACTCATTTGCTAACGTACACACACCCGGGTTTCACGATACCCAGTACAACGGCATACAAGCCTCAAAAAAGGAACACGATTCAAACACATCGTTATGCACATTCAATAAATACTGATACGTGCACGGAGCCACATGGCAAACCATCTCAATGTCATCACAGCCAGCTGCCCTACATCCGCAGAGGGCCGGGGCGCACACAACTTCAAAAACAGACAAACGAGCCTTATACGCAAGGCGGACAAAACTGGGAACATCTAAAGGATAACATTAAACAACACACTTACGAAGGAGTGCCGAACATCACAACCAGACATAACATAAGTGCGAACACACTTCCGTGTGCCCTGGAAGGAACAGCGAGGGATACACCTGAGGGCAGCGTTGAAGACACTCAAAACACGACGAGGCAGCGAGGAACACGCACAGACCAGACTGCCACCTACGCAACGAAACAGCAGTGGAGAAACAACGATACGAGCACGCCAAAATCACTCCTACCACTGTTATCCAGCCCATCAAAAACCTACCACGTCAATTCTAACTACACGCACGACGAGCAGACAAAAATATCAACACAAACGGTCAAAGTCAAAGACTCCACATGAGTGGCCTCACCACAATTCAGAAGATATCGACATAAACCGACGACCAACGCTTCAAAAACACGCTCTCGGGTGTTTCTCACATCAACGACACCGTTCATTTCACAACAAACGACCACCGACTGTCGCAACGAGTCCAGGAGGTGCTTAACATCACTAAGGCAAAGAGGGACATTTACACCCAGATAAATGGAACAGACTCTATACCATTTAACAACAAACAACACTCACATCACAACAATGGATAGGGAACGAAAGAAGTAGGGGGACGAACGAAATAACAGCACTACTTATGGCCAAAACAAAATGCTTGGGGGGGGGGGGGGGCATGAAAAGAGTTAAACCAAAACGGCCCTGCCAAAATTCGTAAAGGCAGCATCAGGAGCATAAGGCTGTAAAAGCACAGAGGACTGACCTACACAGCCCCTCACCGTGACAACGAGCCACACAGTGAGGCCGTTTGACAACAAACACATTTTGCCCCGTCTATCATGAGAACACCGTTTCAGGACATACTACTTAGGCCAAAAACAAATACATTATTCCCGCTCACTACGACTACATTATGATCTCAACATTAAATAAAAACTATAACACACTCCCCTTCAAACTAACAAATGCAATTTAAACTATTTCATTTCACATTCATCTTTACTAGTGTACACATTATTCATTCGGGAACAAATTTCTGTAATGTAACTTCATATCTTCGCCATTCTAAACTCATTTCACTTCTTCACGGTCTGGCTCGCGTCATCCTTCTCTTCAACACTTCTTGCACATCAGCCTCTGCTTCCCTTGTACGTCAAACTCCGCTGCCTCAGATTTCCTATACCAATAAACCAGGATCTCCACAATCTATAAAACAACAATGGCCTATATATTTACTTGGTATATATTGGGTTATTATTCTATCATTCAAAAACCTATCGATTATAATACATCATTTAGGTTTCAATTTTACACTAAAGGATCAACGACATTCACGTCTGCTTTACATTTATATCAATTTTAACTTCATTATTTAACTCACTTTTCTCATATTACATTTCTATACCTACTTTCTTCCATACACTCCATATTTCATATATTATTTACTTTATTCCCTACAACTATGTATTCATTTAGGATTCAAAATTTCTCAATTATTTGGCCCACAACTAGTCACTCGTCACACGTCTACTGACATCACAGTAACGACGCGCCTTTAGCCCAGCCCCCCCCCCCCACATCCTAATTTCATGGATTTCATTTCCAATTATTTATACTAAACTTTAATAACGAAACAAACGCCATATCTAACCATCAAACTATATGCTCAACGACTGTCCACTACAATATACATTTACAACATCTTATATTCTTTCGTACCTTGTATGGAACACGTCAAATTCCAACTTCAACACTTGCAGGTCTGTCCAAAAACTACCTACACACCATGTTGTCCACGTCTCGGGTACTAAAGCCTCTCACCTGCGAAACGACATTATACGATAACAATTTTCATATTGGTTAATACAAACACTCCTTATCACCATTATTATATCAAATACACGCACATTTATAGAAACTACACAGGGGGGGGGGAACATACCATAATGCAGAGGAACGCATGAACGAAACTATCCAATGGGACATACATCGTTATGAAACCAACATCCCTCTCCACCTACCTGACACGATGTCTGCCTATTGCCACCTAACCATCTCTTGTCAGCCAACTGTGTGAGCGCCTATTCACCTGTATTTCACCATCTATCCATCTATAGAGCAATACCGTCTACCATTCACATATATACACACACCAAGTCTTAAACACTTTTCAACCACAATATAAATAATAACTGTTCCGTCTACTCATTCTGGGTCTCATCACCTTTAATGCTCAAACTACACAACATCCCTACATCACGATTTATATTCACAACACGTGCTGATTTAAGTGTTATGTACTACCTAACTTGTTAGGTGGGGAGGGCACATTTCAAGACATCTTGATATTAACATACTCACCTCAAGGTCACGCCATATTCCAGTACTCTCATTACTCAACGCGACATTATCCTTGCGTTGCTCGTCCTCTCCACCCCTCCCGGTTTCGCCACAAATAGATACTTCATCATTCTCTTCCGCAAACCCAAACATCTACAAACGCTCACATCCTCGATATCAATAATATCCATCAACTTATTCAAACAAACACTTCCTATTATGCCATACAACCATCTATGAACACTCAATTATACATTACTACATTTTCGTCATTGTCAAACCATTTTCTATATTATTCTATATTTGAACCTCTAACAATTTCAATTTTATGTTATTTTAACGATTTAAACTTGGTAGACATGAGGAAAAACAATACATAGCAACTAATGTCCCACCTCCGACGAGTACTACTTTTCTAACAATTTACAATCAAACAAAAACCATGACAACCAACACCACCACAAACAATACATTCTACAAAATAAATACATTAATCACCCTTTTTCTTATACTCTACACACATTTCCAGTGCTAACCGCTAAATTCCTTATTCTTACAATTTAGTCATCGCGAAAAATTACCATCCACCTCACCGTCTCATTTTCTCTCTTACTGTCCTGGCTACCCAACATGAACTGCTCAATAACTACCACTAGTAGTACCTATATCACCACACATTAACCGCCAATGTTCCACCGACACATCTCTTCCTAGTACACAATTCTCAATTAAAATCAACTCGACACAAATAGACTTATTGATACACACGACAACCAACACCCGTCCAACAATACCGGAAACTAAACCTCAAGTTAAACACCAACTTACATTTCCCAATGAAGAACAAACCAGACATGTAATAGTATAGGCAGAAGTGAAAGGAACACCCGCTATCCCTCATTACACAATTAAAATCAATACGACTCCCCCCCCCCCCCTGTACCATCGCCACCCACCTAGATATTCAGTCAATAAATACGCCTTGCATGTCCACTCAAATTTACTCAAGTGACCGTAACACTTACATTCCATCCATGTATCATTGAGAACAAATCAATAATAATTCGTAAAATGAATGCTTGAAGTCACGCGTATTTCATGCACAATCATTAACATTATAAACACGTATTTACTTACAATAACCAATTGAATATTTGTAGTTAGTAGCAGCTCTACGTCAAACCACCTACAGCTCAATATGTCTACGTCAATACAAGAGAAGCCAACGGATTTTCAACTCACCCACCCCTTTTCATACGTTAACAATTATGTACTCAGGTAACCAGACCACTTAACTCGCAATTAAATGATTACGAAGGGGAGGGGGGAACAGCACTACAAATCCATTTTAAACAAACCACGCGCGAACTGTGAGGGCCAAGCCTACCAACAGTTATTCACTATTCTTAAAGTTTCTGGAACCATCATCCTCCACCCAAACTGATTTTTTCAACTTGAAGTTCATAATTGTGAATCTTACAACTTGAAAAGTGTTAACTTTACTTTTACATGAAAACACCCATATCTGGCCGCTTATAGGCTGTAGTCCTCAAACTGCCACTTGTTTCACCACATCAATGTCAAACTCCAACACTCCACAACCCCCACTTATCTATTGCATGCCGCATATCTACGTCCACCACGCCCTATCTTCATCACCTACATTTATTTACCTATACATCGAGTGGGTGACACTTCAATATACACGACTGCGTTAGGCCCGGTACACTTGCCTTAGTGGTCACGTTATTAACTACTCGCTTTAACACCTATGTAAGGTTGGGTTCAACACTTTACGTCCTTCCATTATCACCCTTACGTTTCCAAATAACAACAGTCATTACTTTGTTCATTTGCAGCAAATTCTCCAACATCCTACACTAAATAATTATATGTTAACTAATTTAACGTCATCCTTCATTAAATTACGCAATGATTATAGCCCCAAAAATAGCACAAACACTAACTGACGATGTTAGTTCAACTTCATTAATAAATCTTTCATAACGTCAACATTTAGAAGTAATTAACTACCTTCCTGTCACATTACTTGCACACAGTCAACTTTAATAACTGTCGGCCGCCTGAACGTGACATTCAAATCCCAACACAATTATAAACACATTTACACTGTAGTAACGTGCCACAACCTATCCCCCACGAACATTCTATAACACTACTCCGACACTTACTGACAAGTCTTCACGAACACGTAACTTGACCCGTCTCCCTGTGGTCTTCCAGACAGCCCAGGGGTCCCTGCCAATCTGTCCGGTATGACCTGCAACAAACCAACAGTTATCTGATGCTATCAATATCAATTATTCATTCATCTATATATCATACCTTCAATTCCAACCTGTACTTTCACTATACTATTTCATGTACCGCCTCATTTCAAATTACACTTTTAAACACTCAAACCTCCATAGTCAAAGCGTTTTGCAGCTGTTACCTGTGGCCTCCACACCCTCTCACCAGCTAATACTATTAACCACTTCACTCTCACTTTAGCCTATCTTAATAAAATATTAACATGCATAGAACTTAAACTAGGTATTCAATAACTAAATGCCTTAAACTCATACCTCCATATCGGCTAACTCCAGTAGCACATCTGCCACCAAATTCGGCTCGCCACTGACTTCAATCATCGGTCAACCACTGCTTCCATCACAATGGGGGTGTCTCCTCCACATTCCTAACTCACCAGTCGCCTCATTTCACGCGATGCCTCATCTTCCAACCATTGCCTCGTTCAATAACAATACCACTGAAATATTTAAAAATACAATTAATTACATATTTATAAAATATATATTACTACTGATTACCGAGCAGGAATACAATTATCTGCCTATATATACCATCCCACAAGAGGGTATATATGCCAGCTGTAAAATATATATTTTTGACCCTATGTATTGGCGTTTTGCGGGTGTACAATATGAGTGTAAGCTAGGGGATCTGTCAGCCCTAGCGACCCCAAAGGGTAACGGGGTACCAGCTCAGAGTAACATCACGCCCTAACACTAACTTGTACACCACAACTATGCCAATACTGGGGTCAAAATAACGTTCTGTCGAGCCTCACCCACCACGTCGACTCAACAGCCAATCACCTTTCGATTTTTTCACATGACGTCACATTCTCTCAAGCTCTACTCTTATTGGTCGCCTCCACCTAATTGGATACTCTAGTAATTCATGACAATTATTTTTTGGAACTCAAATATATACACCCATAAGTATACCCAATGTATGAGAAACATACATATAACAAATCTATGAGAAACAATGTTTGACTTAACACTCAAAAATGATGACATTGGATTACTTATTAGTTAAATATTATTATAATGATTAAATATTAACAATACTTATTCAAGCTACAAGTACAGTACAACAAAGTACAGTATAATATAGTACAGTACACTTCCGTACGGTACCATACATTACACTACTGTAGAATATACTTCCCTACGCTACAATACACTACTATACATTACAATAAAGTACAGTACCCTACCATACAGAACAGGCAACGGCACAGTACACTACAGTACCCTACAGGGTACACTACCGTACACAACAATACCCTACACTACAGTCAAGGGTACGGTACACTACACTAAAATATAATACAGTCAACTACTCGACAATATACAAGAGTACAGTACGATATAGTACAATACAGTTCACCACAAAACAGTACAATACACTACAGTCCAGTAACGTCAACTACACTAAATTACAGTACAGTACAATACAATTACGTACACTACACGGTACAGTACATGATACAGTACTGTACTCTACTCAACACTTCCGCACAGTATTGCATACTACAGTACACTACATTAGTGCAAAGTATAGTACAATACCGTGCAGTACACGGCACTCCACTCCAGTACACTACTCTATACTACACAATGCAATGCGAGCACTGTATCTACACCGACGGCTCACTCAAATCCTATATATATATATTCTATTTTATAATCATAGGAAAATATATTACAATATAGATATTTTTGATCTGAGATATATTGTGTTTTGATATATGAATACTAATATTAGATTCTCAATAAAGATATAACATTATATGATTGTTATTATGTAAAATATAAACTCATATCTATAGATAGTATAGATCTATTTTAAACTATAATCTTCAATATGTATAATAAAGTATAAAGATATATTATAGAGCTTATCATTCAATTATTATACATTGTATGATATATATATATTAGAAATAAACTATATAACTATTTATAACTTTTTTAATATAGAAGAAATATTGTACATTATATTCAATGAGTATAAAAACACCAAGTTATAGGGTTTGTGCGAATATATTACTCTCTTCAGTACATTCAAAGGAACAACTATGACATACATACGAAACCTTTGACACATGTCATAATATTGTTGATTGGTCAATCAATATACGCCATACTGCAATGTTCACATCCTAATAATTACCATTACAAGCCAATATTCTATTACTTTATTAGTAAGTCAAAATATATGCTTATTACCTGCAAACGTAGTCCTAATCACGCCCTAACACTACATACTATTTATTACTTCATATCCATTACCATATATTTATACAATACTATTCTTTTTTATTAAATCCTTTTCATTACCGTATTTGTGCAATGCATTTTAATATACTTCAATGTATTTATTTTTTCCATATGTAGGTTAATAAAGTGGATTACAACAATTATTCTCTCTATGAATAAATGTTAGTTGGTCGGTCATGAAGATTCTATTGATATAATTATACCATTTCGAAAATCACAATTACGTTTCTTATTAATAAGAAACAATTATATATTCTTGCCTACTAAAACCAGCTCGTCATTCATATTCTCTATATATTTGTCAACAATCAATTTCAAGACTATTCACGATTATTGCATTATTATTAGTTACTAATGAATAATATTGTACTTTTACTACTATTCCTGTACATTATTAAACAATTTCCATTTACACTATTTTTATTATATTCACTATTCAACCATCTTCATTATATATAAAATACCGTATTTTTTTTTTCTTGTAAATAATATTCAATTGTCAATGTTTAATACATTTCATGAAGTCATCAATAATATTTATTAGTGACATGTACACTTAAAGTATGAATTTTCGATATTATTATTTTTAGTCAAACTCAATATATTCATTATTCCATACAACATTTCTTACATAAACAAGTATATATTTTATTCATATATATATTACTGACAAAATCCGTTTGTTACATACTTCTCAAATGTACATTTACAGTTTTATTGAATATTAACTTATTTCTTACTCTACAATATATCCATTCTTTGATTTTCTTTGTTTCTCAACCTCAGCCAAACACTTACACATATTCTTTACGTTATTCCTTGTTTATGCTTTGCCGATATATCGCATTTGCACCATACGAAACATGTTATTTACTATGTCCAAATATATGCGTTCCTTCTTAGTGCACCCTTCAAACGTCCACGTCAAACAATGACAATCTCTTGGTCAATGTTATTTAACCAACAACCACCTTCAATAGTCAATTACACATTATATTGCTTTCATAACCTTTACAAACATGACTATTTCATGTTCCACTCACAACATGCCGGCCCCAAAACCAATCAACACAATTACATTTATCTGCAAATAACATTTCAACTACCTACATCACTATCAACATACGCTACAAAGCACGCAACGTTATCTACGACTCAAATTACAATATTTAGGATCATCCAACCAGCGCTCTTCCAGTGTTACTTCAATCTTATCAACTAACGGTTTGTAAGTATTTCTCAATACAAAACCCGGACCCATATGTACAACCATCAATGTCACGCATAATCACAGAACGATAAATAGTACCAACGGTGCCAATACCAGAACAAAAAACAATAACGCCAAACACATCAAACCTTTCTTACTCCAAAACTGAAAATCGGGACATTCAAATTTCCACAATAACGAGCAGGGCGCCGCTACATTATTAACGGGGTAAACGTCGGAATAAGGAACACCTTTATGGGAGATGGGACAAGTGCGCATAGCGTCCTTACCGGCAGCATCTGCACGCTCATTTCAACATACACCAACATGCCTGGGAACCCAGCAAAACGCAACACTTATATTTACTCGACATAACAAGCAGCCAATGTTGAATCTCGTTGACCACCGGGTGGACCCGATTGAACGACTCTAATCCCATGACGGCACTACGAGTCAACTACTACCACAAACGACGATTGACCCCGGGAAAGCACGACACCAACAGCATATACAATACCATACAGTTCTCCTGAGAAGATGCTAGCCTCACGTTGAAAGCGACACATGTAAGTGTCCTCACGAAAAACAACAAAGTACCCAACAACGTCACCACACATACACCCATCGGTGAAGATGGGAACGGACTGCGAGTCACAACAAAAGTGCTCAACGAACACAAATTTCAGATATCTACGAGGGGTAAAACCTTTAGTCATGCAAGTCACACATGTACACAATTGGGGAAAGGGGACCCTCCACGGGGGAAAGGAGGGAACAATACCAGAAACATTAGTAACAATAACATTCTTGTAAGCGAGACAAACGGACAGGAACGTGGTGAAGAGGAACGGCAACTACAGGAGGGGTACAACTCAAAAGCACGATTCAGGCGAGTGACGATGCTGTAAGGATCCCGCAACATACCGATCACGGCAATCATGCACAGACAATGACAACGTCAGCATACAACCGGAGGCTACGAGTTGAACGAAAACCACCAGAGCTGAGGCGAACGAAAACCACCAGAGCTGAGGCGCTACAAACTATGGTGCAAAGGATCAAGACGGCAAACAGTACAACAAGAAGCATAAAAGTACGCAGCCAAACCATAATCAACCTTACACACGACGAGAGACAAATGAAAATAGACGAGCGTGCGCCTATCTCCTCCCAAACAACTATGACAACACCTTAAGGAGGTTCAGGCCCTTACACCATTCAACACGGATGTAAGAAACATGGGACGACCAAGACAAACCACTCTCAAACAATAACAAACAAATTCTTCCTGGATTCTTTGTAATCAAGGGCATGACCATAAATTGACAAACAGGGACGAAGAACGACCCGCTTCACAGTAAATATCTTAGTATTACAGAACTTGAAGCCATGATCGGTGGCCAAACATGAAACGGCATCAATCGCAAGTTCAAGCCACCGTTGAAGGAGAGCCGATTCATCACCCTCACAGTAACATCATAAACAAACAGCCACAAACATGCCACAACGAAGGGACGAAACAACACCATTGAGGCCAACCACAAAAACTACTCGGTACACACAACAATACTACTAATAGTAGTACTCACAACAATACCTTGGGGCACACCTTCATACTGCCAAAAACAGCCAGACACAGTGGCACCAAGCCTGACTCGAAACCTACGACGAGACGAACCTTTGAAGGAAGACAGGGATATTACCACGAAACAAAAAACAACAAACTTGACACACAATATGCTATCTAAGTCGTATCATAACCATTTTCAACGTCGACAACAACAACAGAGGTCTTCCCAGCAAAATCACTACAAATATAGACCTCAAAGTTGAACACATCACTCGTCCGGCAGCACTTGCAAAACCAAATTTCACGAGGAGAGAGGTCCTGATGCTGTTCAAACAACCACATCAAACGGACATTTAACATACGCTCAAACAGCTGGCACACACAACTCGTGAGGGAAATACGGAGGAACTCATTTGGGAACGTACAGACAACGGGGTTTCCGAATACGGAATACAACGGCATACACTTCTCAAAAACAAACGACCACTCCCACACCTCGTTATACAGATTCACTAAATACTGAAACGTGCACAGAGCAACATGGCCAAGCATCTCGATGAACCTCATCCGAGCCCGCTGTCCTACATCCGCAGAGGGCCGGGGCACACCGAAGTTCAAACAGAGAGAAACGATCGTTATAGGGAATGCGGAGAAGAGTGGAAATCTAAATGATAAGATTCAAGAACACGCTT